GAAAAACCACCTCATCCTAACGCAAAAACATTTTGTCAAAAAACGTAATTTTTTTCTAAATTGATGTGTTTCCATTGAGCAAATTTATTTTCGAAATTCTAATTTGCGTATTTTCATGGTCAATGGAAACGCAGCTAATGTGAACTGAATAACGCAATTTTCGTCATGAAACTGTGAGAGTTTGGCAGGATTTCGGCAGTACAGCTGCAGCATGCTGGAGCCTGTACTGGATCCACTCCAGATGTGTACGGGTCCCATGTCACAGGCACTAATTGCACCTCCATACCAGCAGAGAGGCAGGCTTTTGAACGGTGTGTTGGGAACAGGCTGGCTGAGCCTTCTCTTCTTCAGTAAGGAGGACCTGGTGTCTTCTAACCCCAGGACAGGTCTCCACTTTGTCTCCAACTGTTTTAAATGTTCTTTGGTTCAGAGGTGACAGCAGAGTTTCTGCATCATGTTCATATATGGCTTCATCTTTGTGTGATAGAGCTTTAAGCAGCATTAATAAATTGTAAATGTACTTAAATCAGTGATGGGACACACATCAGAGGCAGTGGGGGTTCAGTGTATTTCCCAAGGACACTTTGACATAATAATCCAGCGGTGGAATCGAACTGCCAACTCTCTCACTAAAGGAACGACTCCCCTAACCACTGTGTTTACAGATGATGTGTGGAAGTGTTCCTGAGTCCATGCTGTGATGTCAGAACCAGACCTGTTCCCCTGAGGGCCTGAAGATCACAACCATCCAATGTTGACTTTCAGCCTTTGAGCTCAGAATAATACAGATTATTTTAATCAGGTCAGATTATGAACTGGAGACTATGGGATGGTTCAAGTTTTCTTATTCTGAAACTGTTTTAATATATTTAGACAGTTTTTCTCAGAATGACAAACCTCTGACTGACCTGTTGACCTGACAACCTTTTTAAGATATGTAGATGCTGTTCAATTCAAAGTTATATTTTTCCCCCTAAAGGTAGAATATTTTTTAATTTGATGTGTTCACTATGTTTCATTGTAAATAAAATGTGTGTTTATGATATTTGCAAATCATTGCACTGAGTTTTTATTTACAATTTACACAATGTCCCATTTTTTTAAATTCAGTTTGTGTTCACAGTTCCTTATAAATCAGTGGTTCTCACTCCTGATCCTCGAGGACCACCATCCTACGTTTTTGATGGCACACCTGATTTAAATGAATGAGTGAGTGACCGACTGCTGAAGAGCAGGGAAACAATGATTAGTTGTAACATTAGACTTTATTTAATTGACATTTATTTTAACTGTAAAATAAAGACTGTAAAAATACTGTAGGCTGTTTGGTTTTTATCATTTTTAAACAAAGTTTTAAAATATATTACACGGACGGGGCCATTTTATTTACATGCAAAGCATTCTGGGTAAATGATGACGTGGATAGGTCCTCGGTGTGAGGCTGCTAGCGAGCTATATCCACCCTGAAGGTTAATCTTGGACAATATCTGATGATCGACTCTTTTAAATGAAACCAGAGAGCGTTGACAGAGAGGAGAAGGTAGAAATGAGGATTATAGGCAGAAACATGGGTGTGCTATGG